TCCCATTATTTACTTTCATCCACCATCATCCATAAACACGAGGATATTATCTTTCATCTTGGATGAAGGATGATGTGCGACGAACAAGGATAATTTCATCCAAATAGTGACACCGTGTTTAGGACGTTTTCGTGCCACCTCAATACTCGGAATACTACGAAATTTTAAAGAATCTATTTAATATGTGGATAAATGAAAATTATTTAAATTCCGCATAAATAAAATTTTAGTCTAAGGTCAGCAGGATCAGCAGGCTTAATTTCGATTAATTAAATTTTTAAATAAACATGATATAAATTCATTAAACAATTAAAAATAATAACTTCGTTAAATATATAAACATGTATATTATTTAATATATTTAATATAGATTGAAATAGAGATTTCATCCGAACAATAAATTTGAATTAGCTTGCTTCTATGAAAATGTATAATAAACAGAAAATTAATTAATAAACTAAATTTAAAATATAAAATATTATAAAATATATTAGCCAACATTAACATTTCTAGGTTGAATGTTGAATCAATATACTTTACTATTTGTATGCTATCTATTTTTGCTTTTAGTATTTTTTTCTTAAGTATTTTTCATTACTTGATTATTTTTTATCTTTTGTTAAATTTTAATTTAAAAAACTTTTTTGTTTTCATTATATAAAAATTGCACTACTAATAATTTCAGAGAAAATATTTGCATTAGGTCTATTATTAAGATTAACATCCGGACTTTATTTCATTAAATCCAAATGTTTATATGAGATGTCTTCATGGATCTTTGGTAGAAATTCATTGACTATGTTCTTGATCATCAAAGGGAATTTCACCGCCGATATTTCCCTCATTAATATACCTATACTATATACAGTCGGACCTGTATATAATCACCGAATTTTGATGATTATAATTTATAATTATATCATAAAGAAAAAATTTTTTGGGAATGAATAAAGCGGCTCTGACTGTATATATATAGCAGATTTTATTGTATAATTTCACCACAGTGAATTTCAGGTGAGATTCCCATAGTTACTATTTAATGTTTTGTTAACTGGCCAAATCATCAATATCTTGATTTTTTTGGATCTTTAGTTAGTTCAAAAACGGTATAGCAAGAATTTTCAAGTGTGAAATTTAATGTTACCTATCAATTTTTTAGCAATCATAAAAGATAATATTCAAAAAATATTTAAATAAAAATTATAAATGTTGTGGCAGTAAAAACATTATAGCTATTTGAGTTGGTCAATCTCCATTTACAATAAGACCCATCTTTCAGGTAGCATATCTTCCTTCCGTCAGATATTCTATTCAATCCAACTTACCATAAGGTGCTAAAGTTTGACATCCTTTTAATTTCACCACCATTTCCGGATGTCCAATTTCTAAAATTATTTTTAAATATTTATGAATACAAAACTCGCAATATTGAGTTGCTTGCAAGTGTTTAATTACCAATTCTATATTTATCTTATACTTTCTGTAATTCGTTAAGTAAGAAAACCTTTTCAAGTTCTGTGAAATGTGAATTATTTTTTTTCGATATTCTGCTTGCTCATTAACTGTTTTATACATACTGTATTTGTAGTGCCCTCCAAAAATTAACTAGTTCCGAGGGTTTTCTTTCTAATTCATTACGGAGTAGTTGTTGGCATAAATTATGCAATATGAATATATAATACAATGTAGTAAACTTTAGAGTTTTCTATTGTATATAAAGATATCTGCCATTTTCAAAACATTCAATTTGCTCCTTATTAAAAATATAAAATCTGAATGAACCAAGATTTTTCGATAACTAATTTTTATTTAATAATAATAATCTATAACCATACTAAATTTTGATGTAAAATAAAAATTTATCTATTTTTATGATAATATATATGATTGATCAATGAATGCTTTTTTTTTTTGATAAAAACGAATGAATTTTTTTTAAAAAAAAAATTAAAAATGAAAAGAAAAAAAATTCTAAAAATGTAAACTATATATATAAGCATATTTATATGAATACATGTCAAGAAAAAAAAAATTAAATTTAAGTGTTTTTAAAGGAACCACATTCTATTTTCAATGTTTGTCATCACGCGATACCAATTTCCATTTTTAACACGTGGTTTTTGACGGCTACTATTATTTATATCATGTCCTCCACGTTTACCACGATTGGTATTAGCAACAGTGTACGGTGAAAATTTTACAAGATATCTCGCTTGATTTGCTATATGATGCGCATAGCATGCAGGAGCTACTTGTGATATAGATACGTTACACCTATAAGAAAAAAAAAGAATTATATAAAATGTTTAAAAATCTCTAATTTGAAATATATATAAAAAAAAATATGAATAATTATAAATATAATAATAATAAATTACCTTGCTGATAAGTAACAAAGATTATAGGTTAATTGTTGAATTTCATCAGCGGTAAAATCTCCTTCATTTAATAAAATACGATAATATGCGGAACGGGCGGTCGTGCCGTTTTGAACCAATGCTTGACTCAAAAGAACTGTAATAATTTGAATATATGTATAAATTATAATAAATATATAATATATGATTAATAAATATATATATAATATTTATATATGATTAGAAGTTAGTTTTGCTAAAAAATAAAAAATAAAAAAAAATTTTTTTTTTTGCTTACAGAAACTAAATTCGTCTTCGATTACAATTTTCAAATCAATTATAGTTCCAGGAAGTGAATTTCTAGTGTCGGGGTGTGCTTCATCTTTATTTACGGGTACACATCTAAAAAAATTAAACATAAACACATGTTTCTATTTTTATGGTCTCTTTAAATTTATCTTGACGATAAAACAAAAATTTACCTCATGTGGTGGCGTTTTTGCATAATCGTGAAAGTTATTTTAGGTTCTTGAATACCACTTTTACCATAAAAATCTCGGAGGGAATCTTTCAGAACTTTTACTTCTTCTTTCATAATCTTTTCAAATTGTCCTTCAGCTACACCATCCCGATAAAAAATAATATGATCTGGAAGATATTGATTTCGTTTCTTGAATTCAACAAGTAGTTCTTTGGTCATTTCACTTAGTTCTTCAATTGTTTCATTTTTTAAGATTTCATTTAATCTATAACGAGCCGCGTATTTTGTGGCATCAGAATTCATTGACGCACACAGTGCAGCAACGCTGGGGTATCCGTTAGCTTTCTTATAGGACCTGGATGATATACATCGGCGCCCATTATCATTGTCTGAAATAAAATTAAATGGAATCGAAAATTTTAATATCAAAAAATTTTTATAAACTATAAATATATATAATTAACATAATGTTTTACCTTTTTTGATTTAAAATTTAGTTTTTCCGATAATGAACAGTTGATCCCACCTAATTTTGTATTGAGCTTAGGTGCACTCATACTAAAAACATTTCTTATTCTTTTTTCAGATTTAAAATTTGACCAAAGAAAACATTGGGACATTACTCCAATTATTGTTAAACAAGTTCTCTTGATCACTGCATATAAGGAATTATTTCCAGTTGTTTTTTTATCGAGGATGCACACAACTAATTCTTCTCCGTTTGTAGTAGCTTCTTTAAGTTTCTTATAATCGTTTTTAAATTATTTGTTTATTATTATTAAATTCAAAATTATTCCAAAAAAAAATAACAATAAATTACATTATAAACTTACTTTATTGACTTTTTGGATATCTTTATATACTAAATTGTCAGTTGTAATTGTTTCAATTAGAATTCTAGGTTTGCTTTTTATTACCTAAAAATTTCATCCAGAATATGTTAATTACGGTATTGGCAACTTATATTTATAATTGATCTATTGACCAAACTTACAATTCCTTTTTCTGAAAGAACTTCTTCGAAAATG